GGCTGGCCTGGAACTTATGGCGATCCTCCTGCCTCAGCCTCCTGAGTGCTGGAATTACAGGTGTGAGCCACCATGCCAGGCCTATAACACTTTATGCACCAGAGTTTGAAGAAAACAGTAACAATTTTCCCTAACCTACACTCTGTCTCCTACCTCAGAAACAAATGTTACTATCACAGTGGTTATATGGTGTGTTTTTTTCCAGAACTAGGATCATTCTTTTTTTTTTTTTTTTGGTTTTTCTCCGGTACCAGGAACCGAACTCTTGACCTTGCGCTTGCCAGGCAGGCGCTTTGCCACTGAGCTAAATCCCCAGCCCCCAGAACTAGGATCATTCTAATAATGATATTCTGCAATGTCCTGTACAGTCTTAGTCGTGTCCTTTTGGCTGGTTTTCTCCAACTCTGCAGTGGCAAAAGAAGAGGTGCTAGCAAACTACTAGTGACTGGAGACAAAAGTTTGGTTCCCCATGAGGCCTACCGGATACCCCAGGAGGGGTTCCTCATTGCTGCTAAGCAGGTGTGGGAGTTCCAGTTCCTTTGTCGCTTCTCTCAATGCTGTAGGTGTGGCCTAGTGTGATAGTTAACTGATTGTGTCAACTGAGTCAGAAAAGTCCAACTAAATTGGATCAGCACAGTTCTGGGTGTGGTTGAGGGGATTTACTGCTGACAGAAGACCCGCCCTAGGGTAGCTTGTCCCCTGACTGGTATGGTATGAAAGCGAAGCAAAGAAGAAAGGCTCGCTTCTGTTCCTTCAGAGGATCTGCAGTCTTTACCTTCACCTTGGACGTAGTCTCCTGGTTTCTAGGGCAGACCCTTACATGAAGTAGTTTTATCAGCTTTCTACATACGATAGAGTTAAAGGTATTAATGTTAAAATAACGTGTTCAATTTCATGACCAAAGTAATGTTACTGAGAAAAAAAACCTCAATAATTCTCTAGCTTCACCTGCCCTTAGTTGAGTTAAAAATCACTAATTTTGCAGCCAGGCATGGTGGCGCACACCTATAATCTCTAGCACTCAGGAGGCTGAGGTAGGAGGATCGGAAGCTCAAGGCCAACCTGAAACACCAGAGAAAGACCTTGTCTGTCTCAAAGAAACAAATTCACTAATTTTAAAGGTCACACAGTTAGACAATGCATTATTAATCAACCACTAGCTACGATACATAACATCTCTGCTCTGTGGGTCATGATAATGGTTACCCAGATTACTTTTCAGGGATCTGAAGGTCGCTTTTGTTGAAAATAATAAAGACTTTCTTTGGGCCTGCAGACGTGTTAAGGCAGGAGATTAGGATAAGGACAGCTGGCTGAACAACTGGGCCTGCCTGTCAATCTTAAGAGATGCAGGACACATGCACAGAAAATAGTTCCCAGACCGTGCACCTGGGGCCAATGAGAAAGTGCTATCTTCAATTCTTCTGGCATGAAATCAAGCCACTTTTCTTTTATTTGTTTGTTTTTTTCCCCGGTACTGGGAATCGAACTCATGACCTTGCGCTTGCCAGGCAGGCGCTGTGCCGCTGAGCTAAATCCCCAGCCTAATCAAGCCATTTTTGATAGGCTGGCCTAGAGCTGTTCACCAGCCTGAACAGTTAAGGGGTGTGAAAGGTATCTGCCATTAACCTCACAGCCATTGTGAGCTTTTTCTGTGGCCCACCTTCCCTCTCCAGAGAATACTCCTTTTCCTATATGTAATTGGCCCACATTTGCTCTGCAGAGCATACTTCTTTTCCTACCTTTAATAAATGTAAAAGTCCTGGGCCAGGCATGTAGCTTAGTGGTAAAGCACTTGCCTAGCATGCATGAGGCCCTAGGTGCAGTTCCCCAGCCCTGCTAAATAAATAAACCTTGCCACCTTTTTCACGTCTTGTCAAAATGTTTGCTGAGGACACCACCAATCTGAAAAGAATCCCGGTTATCTACAGACCCCAGAATCCAGTACTAATCTGATGACTGACTGGAATGGAACAAATAGGCCTGACATCTGTCTTCGTATTGTGTCCATCTCCTTTGCTATCCTAACCTTTGGTCCGCTTCTACTCAGCTCCACATGCAGACATGCTGATCAGCTGAGAAATGTCTGTCCAGAACTACAATACAAGGTTACTGGACCTAGATTTGCCTGGTGTCCCTTCCCTGCTTCAAGGCAAAAAACACCTACCTACCAGACTCCGCATCTGGAAACATCAGAACATAAAGGTGGGGAAGTAGGTCGTACCAGAGTTCCCGGCAGATCTATCCTCAAGAAAGAAGAAAAAGAATGTTCATCCCCTTGATTAGCCTATCTCTCTCCAACATTATTCCTATCCTGTTCTGTAACTCCTAAACTCCCTGGAATTGAGAAGTGTGTTTGAGCAGAGCTTCTGCTTCTCCATTCTTCGACCAAATTCTTTCACCAGATAAAGCTCTTATGTCCACCGTCTCCTGAGTCACTGGCTTTATCAAGCAGCAGTGGAATAGCACTTTTCCTCAGTTACAGTAACGTCTGTAATTCAGGAAAATCTTTTTTTTCTATCTAAATGTAACTCTCCTTGCAAAAAGTTATGGAGAGCAAATTTTCTTCCCAGATATTTCAAAGATCTTTTTTATTTCATGTATTTTTCTTTAGCTTAGAATGATTCACAAGAGTTCTTCATAAAGATGATGCAGCGGCTGCATTCGCTGAGTAAGCGTCTGAATTTCCTGCTGAAGACCTTCCATTCTCTATATAGAGAGAAAAAACACCTCCTGACAGTATTAGGTTGTTTATAATGACAATAAATTAGTGAATAGGTGAGAAAGGAGTATTATTAAGACTTGACAGGCCGGGGATATAGCTCAGCGGCACAGTGCCTGCCTGGCAAGCACAAGGTCCTGAGTTCGACTCCTGATACAAAGAAAAAGACTTGACATTTAAAATTTAATTTAAAAAAGAAACAGAGCTGGCGTGGTGGCACATGCCTGTAATCCCAGCACTCAGGAGCCTGAGACAGGAAGATCATTGTGGAGTTTGAGACCAGCCCGGGCTACAAAGTGAGCTCAAGGCCAGCCTGAACTGAAAAGTGAAACCCTATCTTAAAAAGACCTCCCCCTCAAAAAAGAAATAAAGAATATAAAAATTCACATTCTATTTGCAAGCTTATGATGACAGATATGTTTGAAAATAAACTAGAAATTTGGGCATGGTGGTACACACCTATAATCCCACCACTCAGGAGGCTGAGGCAGGACTGCCTTGAGCTTGAGGCCAGCCTGGGTTGCACAGCCTGAATTATACAGCAAGACCCTGTCTCAAAAAAAAAGACAAAAAGTAAACTAGATAATTCCCTACCTTAGTTTTATAATTCATTCCATTAAACCCTATTTCCCTTTTCAAAACTCTGAATATTGGTGTTTTTCAAATACTTCACTCCGGTTAAAGATGAAATATGTTCCTCTAGATCCTTGAAATCACTTTCAAAGGACACTGTCTAGGAAGGTTAGTGGGTATTTTCTTCGTAGCTTTTTATTTTAAGCCTCAACTTTTGCAATAAATTTATTTTATAACAAGTTTTAACCAGCTGTGGTGGCACACACCTGTAATCCCAGCACTCGGGAGGCTGAGGCAGGAGGATCGTTGTGAATTCAAGACCAGCCTGGGCTACAAAGTGAGCTCAACCAGCCTGAACTGCATAGCGAGACCCTGTCTCAAAAAGGAAAAAAAAAAAAAAAAAAAGAAGAAGTTTTAAAGATTCCTTAAAACTTAAAGAGAAAGGAAGTTTTTAAATTCAAATTATGGATTTTTAAAGTCATTATTTTAAAAATAATAGGTATTTCTATGTAAAGTCAAACTTCCAAAGTTGGTATACTATTCCAGTGTTCACCTTACAGTCAAATTAGAACAGATAGATTGGAATATGACTTTATTTTAATCAGCATTAAAATCGTTCAACTTTTTAGAGTAAATTGTGCATATAATGAATTGCATAATTTCTAATAGAAAGGACTATTAATACCCGCTGCTTTGGGCCAAGCCTCTTTTGCTTTAGGTGGCCTAAGAGGGAAGTATTCACATTCTCATTCTACTGCCAAAACCACTGTGAATTATCTAACAGAACTTTAAGAGTGGCTTTGCGGGCTGGGGATTTAGCTCAGTGGCAAAAGCGCCTGCCTGGCAAGCGCAAGATCATGAGTTCGGTTCTCGGCACCGGAGAAAAACCGAAACAAAAAAAAAAGGAGTGGCTTTGTTTGAGGGATCCAGCTCAGGGGCTCCTGTCGCTTGGAGATGAGATGTTTGCGTTTTGTGTTTTTTTCTGAAACATGGTCTCGCTATGCAGTTCAGGCTGGCCTCGGACTCATGGAAATTCTCTGGCCTCAGCCCTCCTGAGCGCTGGGATCACAGGTATACACCACCATACCCAGCCTATTTTTTATTTTGAGACAGGGTCTCACTAGATTGCCCAAACTGGGTCTGAACTAGTGATCCTCCTGCCTCAGCCTCTCAAACGCGCTGGGATTGCAGACGTGAGCCACCACACCCAGATTCTTAACCTTCATTCATTTTCACCTAAGAGGTAGCATTTGTGGTTTCCTCAGAACACAACAGCCTCCTTTTCCATCTTTCCTTCCGGTTCTTCACCTTGAATTCACCGAAGTGCCCTACGGGTCCGTCCTTGATCTTCCATTTAAATCCATTCCCTTGGTGGGATTTCCGTATTATGGCACTAGCACAACCCTGTAAATGCGGCCACGCGTGGCGCAGTGCCTTTCCACTCAGGGTGCCAGAATTTACAACGGTGCTCCCAGATTACATCGCGTAGAGACAGCACATTTGCCCTCTGTTAAACACACTACGATGCCAGGCGTGGTGGCGCACGCCTGTAACCCCAGCACTCGGGAGGCTGAGGCAGGAGGATCGTTGCGAGTTTGAGGCCAGCCTGGGCTACAAAGTGAGCTCAAGGCCAGCCTGCATTGCGGCGAGACCCTGTCTCAAAAAAGACCCCCAAAAACAACAAAAAAACCACTACGATGATCGGATGCCCAAGGACACACCTACTCTGGCCATAAGCCACACACGGCTGTACACTATAAACCCGAGTCACTTAAACCCGGCGCTCGTGACGGCACGTGCACAATCGTCTCCCGGGGCTCCAACCCGGCCCCGCGGCAGCGCCGGCCCGCAGCCCCGCAGGGGGGACACGGCGACGCCCCCGGCCGGGCGGCGGGTTCCCCGAGGAGACCTCAGTCACCTCGGGGAAGGCCCTGGAATCAGCCCTCCACCCCAGCCTGGCGGCGCGGGCATGAGAAGGTGGGAAGCCGCCCACCGCGTGCCGCGACTGCCCCTGCGCAGGGCCCGGGACAACCCCAGCGCCGTGACTAGACGCGACCACGAGCTCCGACACCACACCCCACCCGGGGGACGCGCCTCCCGCGCCCGCGAAGCCGTGTTCCCGCGAGATCTTCTCGTCCCGCCCCTACCGCCCCCTGATTGGCTGGAATCTCGCGGGGTCACGCCCAGCCCGCCCTTCCTGAGAGATTCGGCCGGGTCTTTCCTGCCATCGCGGCAACGTTGGATTCCTGTTCGTTTTCCTGGTTCTCGGGGACCGCGGCCCTTCTGTCCCTCGCCCCAGCGCGGCGTGAGCTCAGCAGCACGGGGTCGCTGAGCTGTTGGGAGCACGTAGGCTGGGCCGTAGGGGGAAACCGCGTCCCCGGTGCCCCGAAAGCGAGTTCTGCGCCGGAGGGTAAGGACTCCGCGCGGGGTTGCGCTGGCCCGCGGGCAAGGCAGATCAGATTTAAAATACCTAGCTAGCACGCGTGAGGCCCTGAATTTAGATCCCCAGCACCACAAAGAAAAAAGTTTAAAAATAAAGCAGGAACATTATTGTGGATCATCCAGGTGGGCCCAGGGAGATCACAGTAGAGACCTGTATTGGCCTGTGATGCTGCGACCCCTCGAAGGGCAAGACAGGGCTGAAGCCGAGGACACCTGGCTCTGACTCCAATTTGTTAGAGAAAGACTGGGCATGGTGGCGCATACTTGTAATCTCAGCACTTAGGAGGCTGAGACAGGAGGATCGCTGCAAGGTGGAGGCCAGCCTGAACTGCATAGCGAAACCCTGTCTCAAAACACAAAAATTAAATAAATACAGACTACAACTGTAGCCATTTGGCTCCTGCTGTAAATGTTAACCTAGAGATAAGATAGTTATCTGAATTGGCAACATTTACTGCTTGGAGGTCTTTTTTTTGGGAGAAGTCTTTGAACCCATGGTCCTGTTAAGTTCCTTTGTTGGAAAACGAAACAAATACAGGCTGTCTGGAGAAGCTCTCGTCTTTACTCCCACAGAGTTCTGGCTTTCCTGGATTCCCCAAAACCACTTACCTTTTTATTTAAGCCTTCACCATAACTCATTTTAGGAGGTTTGGGGCCTGATCAGTCCCCCATAGGGATTGTTTATCCAACTCATTCCAAAACTAGCCTGTTTGCCATAAATATAAAAATTTCAAATAAGAATACAAGTTTCTGGTTCACATCCTGCTTAAAATACAGTTAATTTTTTTTTTCCTTTTTGAGACAGGGTCTCCCAGTTCAGGCTGGCCTTGAGCTCACTGTGTAGCCCAGGCTGGCCTCCTCCTCGCAGTGATCCCGAGCACTGACTGGAATTACAGGTGTGAGCCACCATGTGTGGCTTAATGATTCTAATATTTGTTGAGTATCTTTCCAGCCGAGAAACCACAGTAGGCAGGCTTGTGTAGGTTGGTTCATTTTTGTTTCACTTAATCCTCATAGATTTCCTGGGACTGTCACTATTACATAGCTGGGGAAACTGAGGCTCAGAGAGCTGATATTTCAGTAAAGTCACCCACATGTGTCTGGCAAAGTGAAAATTCCAACCTGTTTGCCAGTGTACTTGCTAATCCCGTGCTTTCCCACTGTTAGCGTGCGACTCCTTTCTTATTTGCTGCATAGAGTGCTGGGATTACAGGCGTGAGCCACCACCTCTGGCCAAATACAGTTAATAATTAAAGGTAATTGGATAATTATATATTACAAGCAACAATCCAGGTTAGATCATAAATAAATTAATAGAACATGATTATTATAAAGAAAGGTTAAATGCCAAACATCATAAGAGAAAACAGATTTAAGTGAAAATTTCCAGGGAATTTTATTTATAGTGAGGCCATATTCAAGATGCTGTAGGAAACATCCATGTCATCCGGGTTCTTGGGAGCAGTGACCGGCAGAGCTTCTTTGTTCATTGTCCTTTCCCTTCTCACAGGCGGAAGCAATCTTTGATCTGTTAGCTATTTCATAAACTTGTACGATAAGCTTCAGCTGATTGATGATTTCTTTGTCTGCTGTTTTCATGTCAAATCCCAACATCTTCATAATGGTGTCTCGAAAGTCAAGGAGCTTTAAAGAACCACCACAAAAATTAAAATAGGTCATTAGTTTGGGTCACCTACTTATTATATGTAATGAAATTGGTACTAGAAATTTAGTCTTATTTTTCAAGATAAATAATATTTAATGTGCTGGGCGTGGTGGCGCACGCCTGTAATCCCAGCACTCGGGAGGCTAAGGCAGGAGGATTGTTTTGAGTTCGAGACCGGCCTGGGCTACCAAGTGAGCTCAAGGTCAGCCTGAACTGCATAGCGAGACCCTGTGTCAAAAAGACAAAAAAAATTTAATGTATTTTAAAAGTTAGTATTTTAACATAATCACTTCTTAGTACCCCTTTCCCCCAGAAATTTGGTCTTATTAAATAAACATTTCTTTATAAATCAAATATATTCTACATTCAACTTTTTTTTGTTCTGTTTTTTGAGACAGTCTTACTATGTAGTTCAGGCTGGTCTTGAACTCACTCTGTAGCCCAGGCTGGACTTGAATTCATGCGATCCTTCTGCCTCAGCCTCCTGAGTATTGGGATTATAGGTGAAGCCCAACATGCCCAGACTCAGATGTATTTTCAAGCTAGGAAACATAGTTTGTTCTCTTCATCTCTTTAAAATTTACTTCACATTTTAGTATTTTTTCTTATTTTTGCACTTTTGTTAACATTTATTTATTTATTTTGGTTACTTCTTGGTTTGTTTTTTTTAACCTATAAAGCAATTCTTTTGTTTTTTCATTCCTATTTGAAAGGCGCTCTTATTATGTTCCCCAGGCTGGCCTCCAAATTGTAGGTTTAAGTGATTCTCCTGACTCAGCCTCTCTTGCAGCTGGGGCTGCCTTTTGGGTTTCTGATTTGCTTTCTGATAATAGCATATCATAATACCTATCTCTGCATCCATCCTCCAAAAACTATAGTAGTCAAAGAAGAGAACAAAGAAAAACCACGCATAAATCATGCCTAAAGCATAACTAGAGAGTATCACAGCCTTCAATTTGCATGGGTGGGGAAGTGACTTCCTAAACCAGCAAGGCAGCCTGGCGAGTTTCCAGGGCTGGTTTCCACCAGTTTAGAACACAGACAACCTCACCCCCAGAAATAGAACAGTTCATGAATAGGGAAATACTGAGACCAAATCTGAGACCTGGTGGAAGGAAAATAAAGTGCTTAGCTTTAGTAAATGGTTCTGGGAAAACTGGATATTCACATGCAGAAGATTGACTCTAGACTCCTGTATCTCACTGTGTACTAAACTAAAATCAAAATGAATCAAAGATCTAAATGTTAAGATGGAAACATTTATTCTGCTCAAAGAAAAAATAGGCAAAACTCTTGAAGACGTAAGTGTAGGCGAGAATTTTCTGAACAGAACCCCAATGGCACAAGAAATAGTACCAAAAAGAATCAAATGGATCATATGAAAGTTAGACACTTCTGCACAGCAAAGGAAACAGCAGAGTGAAGAGAGCCTACAAGGTGGGGGAAAGAATCTTTGCCAGCTATTCCACAGGCAAAGGACTAATATCTACAATATATCAAGAACTCCAAAAGATTCGACCCTCCCCCAAATAAAAGACTCAATCAAAAAATGGGCAACTGAAATGAATAGACACTTCCCAAAAGTACAAATGGCTAATACATACTTGAAAAAATAGTCAACATTGATGACCACTAGAGAAATGCAAATTAAAAGAACACCAAGGGCCAGAGATGTAGCTCACCGGCACAGCATCTACGTCGCAGATGTGAGGCCCTGAGTTTGATTCTTGGTACAAAAAAAAAAAAAAAAAAAAAAAAACAACCAAGAACCAAAAAAACCCAGATTCTATCTCACCCAAAAAGAAAGGCCATCTCAAGAAATCAGATGATAACAAATGCTGCTAAGACTGTGGGAAAAGGAACCCTCCTATGTTGTTGGTAGGAATGTAAAGTAGTACAACCACTATGAAAATTAGTATGGAGATTCCTTAAAAAACAAAAACTAGAAATTCCCTTTAACACAGCTGTTTCCCTTCTGGGTATCTTTCCGCAGAAGGGTTAAAAGGCGTGCCCATCCATGTTCATAGTGGCACAGCTCACAGTAGCTAAATCTGGGAAGTGGCAATATGTACATCAGTGAATGGAGAAAGAATGTATTTACACGTGATGGAGTACTACTCTGCCATAAAGAAGGCCTCAGGTAAATAGATGCACTTTGAGACCACACTAAGTGAAATAAATCAGACACACAAGCTTAAATATTGCATGATTTCTCCCATAGGAGAAATCCAAATGTAAAGAGCAAAATAGGAAGGAGGGAGATCTTTTTCAAATGGGAAGAGGAACAAGAGATGACAGGAAGGGGAGGGAAAGGAATTAAAGAATGACAGCAAAAAAGGAAATAAACTTTTATAGTGGGAAGGGACAAAGAAATGGAAGAGGCCAATGAGAGGAAAAAGAATTGAGATGTGATATGTACATGCACCAGCTTCCCACGCCTTGCAAACATGAACTCATACAAATGAATACATTTTTTAAAAAGAGACTTAGAAGCACATGAGACCAGAAGTGGCCGTTCTAGAAGGCGAGGCTCCTGAGAGGAGGCTGGAAAGTAGGGATGTAGAAGGGTGGAGTATTCCTTAGAGGCTTAGGAAATTGGGAGACTTACACAAACTGGAAAATTATCACAGAATCACAAAAAGCCAGCACTAAAATAAAAACTCATTCTAGTAGAGTTCAGAGCCTGCACTCACCGCGCGGACAGAAGAGGGCAGCATTGAGTTGAGAAACCCAGTAAGCAAACCAACCTCGGGCTTCCCACAGCACAGGGCAATTGGAAGGATCTTAGGGCGTGATCGTGCTGCTGTAATCCCAGCGCTCTGGGAAGCCGAGACGAGGGGGGGCTTACAAGTTCAAGCCCAGCCAGCCTCAGCAATTTGGTGACTTTGCGACACTCCCATCTCAAAGGAAACAGCAGGCCAGGTATGTAACTCAGTTCGAGGGCCCTGGGCTCAATCCGTAGTACCATCAAATATATACTTCTTAAAAAGGATTTTTAAAGTGAACAGATAAATCACAAATTATATCCCAATAGGGTTACTGTAAGAAGAACGTAGAAGCTGTGTTCGGTGGCACAATTCCAATACTCTGGGAAGCTAAACTAGGAGGACAGCGAGTTTGAGCATGGCTTGGGCGATTTACCAATGTAGCAAGACCCTGTCTCAGTTAAAATTTTTTAAAAGGGCTAGGGAGATAGCTCATAGGGAAGGCCCTGGGTTCAATATCCAGCACCACCAAAACTTACATTTAAAAAGGCAGTATGTCTAAACTTCAAGTGATGAAAGTACTCCCCTGGAAAATAGCCATGAAGCACAGGTTTGAAACAACACCCTAACATAAAATACATGTCAGTCAGGCCAGGATTTGCAAACATGGGGGGGGCTTTCTTTTAAATCAGAAATGTAATTATTAGGTGGCTGTGGCACATACACCCATAACCCCGGCACTTGGGAGGCTGAGGCAGGAGGACTGCTGTGAGTTCAAGGCCAGTCTGAACTATAGCCAGACCCTGTTTCCAAAAAAATAGAAATGTAATTATTAAAGAATATAAATGGACAAAAAAAAAGAATATAAATGGACAAAAATGTCCAGGATGTTTAATGTATAAGAAAGATATGATACTTGAAATTAGCAAGAACTGCAGAAAATCATAACAAAAATGAAGAATGAACTACAGTGTGCTTAAAGAAGAGATTTCACTAAAAATATCGTGACACTGAAGAGAGGAATAAAAACAGCTTAGAAAGCAAACACAAAAGAGGTAGAAAAAATGCTAAGATAATGACTTTTAAACATATCTTAAAGTAATTCATTAAAGGTTTGAGCAACTAATATGGAGATTTGACATGTAATTTAACAGTTGTGTCAAGTTATCAACTAACTTAAATTTTTTTCTTAAAATACTTGCTTTAGTGTGTAGTCCTGGGTTCAATTCATAGCACTGTTACCAACCCTACGAAATTGGTACCGACACCACCAGTACTACACTGATACACATGAAAGGAAGAGAGATAAAAAGCAGCACGCTAGCTGTGGTGGTGCATACCTGTAACCCCAACACTCAGGAGACTAAGACAGGGGGATTTCCCTGAGATCAAGGCCAGCCTGAGCTACATAGTGAGTTCAAGGCCAGCCTTAACTACATAAGCAAAGCCCCATCTCAAAAAAAAAAAAAAAAGAAAAGAAAGTAAGAGAAGAAAAGTAAATGAGAGAGACAAAAGATTTGCTTTGTAAGTACAGTGAAAATCTAGGCCAGTTTAGAAGCACTATCCTATCCTAGAATGTGACACAGCAAGCAACGTACCTGCTTTGCTCTGAGCTCCCATCCTCTCCCAGGACCCTTCTCTTCTGGCTGGTCAGAAGATGTGTTCACAGACCTAAGCTAAGATAATCACACCCACCCTTAACCAGCGTGGAGTCTTCCTGGAGAAGCACTTTATCTAAACTGGGCCAACCCCAAAGCTTTCCCAGGCCTCATACTGATTCTCTCCCACTGTAGTAAATACAAAACTCCACAGCCATTGGTGGCTGTGTTCCCTGCCATACGGAGAAAAACAGCTGGCTGCCAGACCAACAAGTGGTCACACAGAAGCCAAGAAGAGGTGACGAGAAAGGCCCTGTCTGGTTCCAGGTGCCTACCCTGGAACCCAGGTCCACCTCCACCAGTAGCTTAGGATGTCTAACTTGTAATTGATGCCAGACACCAATAAATGACTCTTTTGTCTAGGTCGGTCTCAGCGGAGATAGGTGCTTGGAACTTCAACCAATCTTAATATAGATGGCACCAACACCCACCTCTCCTGGTCCCGATGCTTCAAGTGCGCTCTGAGCCGTGGCACACTCAGGAGGGCCGCCACCTATCACGTCCCGCGCGCCCTCTTTCTCTGATCCCGCCTCGTGTTCTGCAGAGGCTGCTGTAGTCTTCAAGTTGTCTGCTTTCCTAACTGCCTTCTCTTTCATCATCTCAACTTTTGTCAGTGATTTCCTGAGCTTTTCAATTGTTTTGTCCTGTGAGAGGATAAAAGGTAGATAAATAAATATGAAGGCGTGTTTGATCTCTATAAATAACAGGCAAGCATAACCATTATTTTTCCTTTTTTTAAAAAAAAATTTTGAGGAGATGGGTTGTGTTACTGTTTGGCTCCGGGCTGTCTCTCAAAATCTCACGTGTGGAAGGCTTGGTCCTAGTGTGGCAGCCTTCAGGGCTTTGGGCGGGGAGAGAACTGCATCAGGAGAGCGCTGACCTCGTGAATGGATTAATTCACTTATGGATGCACAGCTCGGGAACTGTTGGAGCAGTGGAAACTTTAAGAGGCGGTGTGCTTGGAGGAAGGAAGTCCTGGAGGGCACCTGTTGTCCAGACTGCACTCTTTCTCTCTCTGCTTCTAGCCGGTGTGAGGAGAGCTGCTTGCTCCTCCATGTGCTCCCACAGTAACGTTCTGCCTCAGCACAGGCCCCAAAACAAGGAAGCCGGCTGACCAGGATCGCACATCCACACTGACAGACAGAATCACTTTCCTCTAAGTTGATCATCTCCGGGATTTTGTACAGGGATGGAAAACTAATATATATGGGGAGGAAAAAAATTCCACAATTTCTGAATGAAGAGGATGTTTATCATCATGCTCATTAATAACCAACATTCAAGTACAAAAATAAAGAAAATAACTAGTGGCACATATAAGAGAAATATTGCTGATCAACTGGTGTATCAATCAGTCAATTTAGTGCATGTTTTGCTTAAGGCACAATTTACTTTTTTTAAGGCACAATTTACTTTTTTTTTTTTTTTGTCTTTTTGAGACAGGATCTCCCTATGCAGTTCAGGCTGGCCTTGAGCTCACTTTGTAGCCCAGGCTGGTCTCAAACTCACAGTGATCCTCCTGCCTCAGCCTCCCTAGTGCTGGTATTACAGGCATGTGCCACCACACCCAGCACAATTTGCTTTTGAAATAGTATAACTGAAGCTAGAAAATCCAAAGAAGAGAAAAAATAAGATGAAAAACTTTGACGTATTATCTAGGTAAGAGATTACATTTATTCCAAGAGATGGAGGGAGATGAAAGGAAGGGGAAGGGATGGGGAATAAAAAGAATTAAGATGTGAATCAGGGATGTAGCTCAGTGGCATAACCGCCTGCCTGGCAAGCACAAGGTCCTGAGTGCAAATCCTGGTACCAAAAAAAAAAAAGAATGAAGATGTGTTATGTGCATGTACCAATTCCCAAAGATGGATGCAATCATGACATACTACAAGCATGGACTAATAGAAATTTTAAAAATTAAAGAGAGACCACACTTACTAGTCTTATACTAAAACAAAAATCAAGGGATTGATAGCCATAATATTTCAAATAGCAGTTTACCTTTGAGAAATAGGAGGATAAATGTGGGCTTTGAGGAGACTGGTAATTGTCTTTTTCTTAAAACAATGGGTTCACAGGTTTCCCTATTTTATTATTCTATGGGCTTTAATAGTATATATTCTTCTGTATGTGTGTAAAATAATTTTAATATTAGGGTTGTTTTTTGTTTTTTTGGTTTTTTTTTTTTTTTGGCAAAATTCAGTGAGAGCCAGGCAGCTAAAATAGGAATGGACCAAAGTTTAAGTGAATTTTTAAATTTTTTGTGTCTTTTTGAGACAGAGTCTCACTACGTAGTTCAGGCTGGCCTTGAACTCACTTTGTAGCCCAGGTTGGCCTCAAACTTGCAACAATCCTCCTGCCTCAGCCTCCTGAGTGCTGGGATTACAGGCATGCACCACCACGCCCGGCCTTAAGTGAATTTTTGAAAGCCCCACTTCCTTTACTTACTTTCAGGGTGTTGACTCTTGACAGTTGAGTTTTCATAGTTTTATTTGACAGTTTCAAATCACTAAGCTGTTTCTGAAGTTTCTGGATTTTGTCCTCCAATCTTAATGTTGTAGCAAGCTGAAAATTTTGCTGAATATTCAATAACATATCTAATTGTTTGAACTTGTGCTTATCTGTCAGGGAATTCCATGTTGTGGAGTTCTCCTTTGCAGAAATTAACTATCAGAATAAAGAACTGTGCTTTAAAGTGTTATTCTGTATTAGCAAAATAGCACCTCTACTCTAGAGTTAAAACTGTAGGCTTAACAATACTCAAATAAGTAAAATACACTTTCACCATATGTGTACTGTATTAGTGAAAATAGCAGGAAGATAAAATGTAACAATAAAAGTGATGGCAGTATACCAAGGGTACAGTTACATAGATAATTGTGTAAGTACTAAGTAGTAACATAGATTAGTTCATCCTTTCTAGGAATATATTACAAGGAAATAATAAAATATTGAATAAAGATTATATATATATGCTTCTGGGGATTGAACCAACATGCTTTGCACTGAACTGCATCTCTAACCTTTTTAATTTTTTATTTTGAAACAGGATCTCACTAAATTGCTAAATTGTCCAAGCTGGGCTTGAACATTTAATCCACCTGCCTCAGCCTCCCGGAGTGCTGGGATTGATTATATGCATGCATTACCATACCGGCACACAGATATTCTTTACAACACTATTGGTGACAAAAAAAGCAATGAAGCTGGGTGTGATGGTGCATGCCTGTAATTCCAGTACTCAGGATGTGGAGGCAAGAGGATTGCTATGAGCTCGAGGCCAGCCTGGGCTATATAAGCAAGTTCAAATCCAGCCTGCATTCATGGTGAGACCCTGTCTCAAAAAAACAAAAAATAAACAAATTTTAAAAAGCAATGAAGCCAGGCATGGTGGTGTGTGCCTGTAATACCAGCACTCGGGAGGCTGAGGCAAGAGGATTACTGGGAGTTCGAGACCAGCCTGGGCTACAAAATGAGCTCAAGGCCAGCCTGAACTGCATAGCGAGACCCTGTCTCAAAAAAGTAAAATAAAATAAAATAAATAAATAAAAAGCAATGAAAATATCAAAAAAGAACAATTCAACTATATAATCATAAAATATACATTCCTTAGAAATTATCTCAAAAATATTGACCCAGAGAAAGTAGGAATGGTATAGCTAAATGAAAGGAGCAGATTAGGAAAAACTCTGCCTATCTCAATTATGTTAAAATATGCACAGCTTGTAGTCAGAAGGAAATGTTTCCATATGACAACGCTGGTTATCTCAAAGTGGTAGGGCTACTGATGTTTTTTAATGATATTCTTTCCATTATTCTGTGCTTTATAAATCTTTAGTAACCACTTGAGTTTAATTGTATTATAAGAAAGTTATTTTAAGTGTTATAACAAAAATATTATGACATATTTTAATACATTAAAAGATATAAATCAAGTAATATATTAAGGGACAAGAGTAATAACATCTTTTTTCTTTTTTATATACAAGTTGATATCTTCTTTCTAAAGAAGAGTGCTGAGAGAATAGAAGATAATGGAGTCACATCTAATCTCTGTATAAAAATAAAATCTAAACCCAATTATCAGGTATCAAGATTCACAAAAAGTCCTTAGCATTTATACAAGGAATTAAAGAAAGGTTATCTCTCCAAGGCATCACTTCTTAGGAAGTTACTGGACAATGTCTCCCAGTAAAGTAAGAAATGAAATTTTAAAAAAGAAGAAGATAAGATTCAGGAAACAGTGATTCCTAAGGAGGAAAGTGGAGAAGAAAAGAAACAGGATCACACCCTTGCCCAGACCCACAGAACAAGCTCAGACTGAAGCAAGAAAATGAAAAATTTTGGGAGAGAAAAAAAGAGAGTTTTAATGCTGGGCGTGGTAATCCCAGCACTGGGGAGGCTGAGACAAGAGGATCGCTGGGAGTTCAAGACCAGCCTGGGCTACAAAGTGAGCTCAAGGCCAGCCTGAACTGCATAGCTAATACCACTATATTGGGAAAATGGAAGGGGTGGGTGGGAAGGTGGTATGAGAGGGAACTTTATTGGGAAATCAACAGATATTGTCTAAAATAGGTAATTCAAGGTAGAGCAGTATAAACAAATTAGAGAAATGGAAGTTATTACCAGAAACAACAGCTAAAAGAGTTAGAAATATACATCATCTTCCCTTAAACTGCACGTAGTGGCAGATGGAGAATCAGTCCCATAGAATACATTCAAATGAGAGAGCAAAAATAGGAGAAGCTAATGACTGTCCACTATGAATTCAGTTATTCAATGTGACTTTATACCTGTGCAAATGGCAGTTCATGAATATCATTTACTGTTTACTCAGCTTTGTAATGATAGGATTCCAGACAAAATAACACTTTTTGGTTTCTCAATATTTCAAATATAGCCTTACTGGATATTTATTTATTTATTTATTTATTTATTTATTTATTTATTTACTGTGTCTTGCTGTGTATCCCAGGCTGGCCTTGAATTTACGTGATCCTTCTGCCTCAGCCTCCCAAGTGCTACGATTACAGGTGTGAGCCACCACACCCAGATGGATTCATTTATTAAATCTATTAGTTGTCTTTACCAGAAATCATTGTTATTCCAGATCTAACTCTATACTGTTATTTTGATTTCTGTGACATCATTTATTTCTTTTAGTTTTTTTAAAGACATGGTCTTGCTTCATTTAAGCAAGCTGGCCTTGAACTCACTATGTAGCCCAAACTGGCCCTGAGCTTGCGGCGATCCACCTGCCTCAGTCTCCTGAGTGCTAGAATTACAGTAGTGTGTCATGCCTGGCTTGATCTTTCTGTGTGTGTATGTGTGTGTGTGTGTGTTGGGGATGGAACTTAAGGACCCATGCATGCTAAGTACATACTCTACCACCACATGAGTTGCATACCAGCCCCTAGATTTCCAATTTATTATTACCAAATTACACAATATTTTTTAGAATTATTTTCATCTTTTCCATATGTACGCATTCATTTTACCTGTTCCTTCTTCGTAATTTATTGTAATTTTACTTTCTTTCCTTTTTAACTAGGCTGCCTGGCTGTCTATTTTTCTTTTCCAAAGAACATTTCACTCTGATTTTAATTTACATATAACAAATATATAGTGTAAACATAACATTTATGTGTGCTGGGAAGCCAGATAGTTCATGTGACTCATTTTACTGCGATATTCGCTTTATTCCAGCCGTCTGGAAGCAAGCCAGCAACATCTGTAAAGGTTACTGAGATTAAAATGGCAGAGGAAGAGTTGGGAAGATCATTATTGTGTTCTTTGAATCTTTTAATGTGACCTAAGGGAATGTGGAAAGTATGTGTTATTTTTATATCCTTAAGTTGTAATAAAGCATTTAAATGTCGTGTGTATGGAAATGAATCATTATGATTCACATACTCAGGAGCACAGGTAGAAACTTGGCTTCTCTCAATTCTATTGGGTGCATTTTTTGCTCCATTTCATTGAGTGCTTGGCATTTTTGAAAATGAAGTGCTCAGTAACTATGGGACTGGGGCTACGGGCTTAGCTCATTGGTAGAGCACTTGGTGAACATGTGTGAGGCCTTTAGTTTCCATCCCCCATTGCAATAAAAATATTTATACTATCATATAAATCTGAATGAAGCCAGGCGTGGTGGCCCACACCTGTAATCCCAGCACTCGGGAGGCTGAGGCAAGACAATCACTGCAAGTTCGAGACCAGCCTGGGCTACAAAGTGAGCTCAAGGCCAGCCTGAACCGCATAGTGACACCCTGTCTCAAAAAAAAAAAAAAAAAAAAAAAAAAAAAAAGACAAAAAAGAAATCTGAATGAATGTGCCCAAGGATTGAGCCCCTGGTGAGGGAAATGTGATTAAACTCTGAGCCACAGCAGTTATAGAAACGGGGCAACACAGGTTGGAGTATTGTAAGTAATTCAGGGAACAGCTTGTGAAGTAGAAGGAATTTCTTGAAAATAAATTGTATTGCAAACTGTTCATTTATATCCAGAGTGCCATTTTCCTGACAGATGTAGGGAAACAGAAAACAGATACCCGTGATATGCACCTGTCACAGTGCCTGAAATTTCAGCACTAGTCATTCCTCTGAATTCCTTTCAGTCTGATCTTCTAAAAGTGCACTAAGATATGTAACAACAGGTGTCCTCATAACAACATCAAATATGGCCACTAATAGCTAAAAGGAACCATGGAAAGACAAGAGGCTTTTTTTTTTTGAGACAAGGTCTCACTGTTTAATTCAGGCTAAACTTGAACTCGCTATGTACCCCAGGCTGGCTTTGAACTCAAAGCGATCCTTGTGCCTCAGCCTACTGAGTGCTATGATTACATATCGTGCACTGATATGCTCAACTATGCTTTTCTTAATAATGGCAAAAGGGGAGCTGAGCATGGTGGTGCACACCTATAATCCCAGCACTCTGGGAGGCTGAGGCAAGAGGATTTCAAGTTTGCTCCCAACCTGTGTCACACAGCAAGTTCAAAGCCAGCCTGGAACATAGCAAGATCCAGTCTCAAAAAACCAAGAAGTAGAGGTGGTGGTAGTGGTGGTGGTGGTAGAGGAAGAAGCAAAGGAGGAGGGTACTGCTACAAATGCGTAAAACTTCTGATTTTATTAAAAAGTCTGTTCTCAGCTGGGCATTGAGCTGCACACCTGTAATCCCAGCACTCAGGAGGCTGAAGCAGGAGGAGCACTGAGTTCAAGGCCAGCCTGGACTACACAGTGAGAACCTTTCTTTAAAAAAAAAGAGAAAGAAAGAAAAGTATTAGTAGTATGAGCACTTTAAATATTAGATACAGGCAACATATTTAGTAAAATAAAAATGACTATTTTCACTGTTGAAGAAATGCCTATATTTCAGGAAATTCTTACTTTCTTCCTGTCCAACTCTAATTTCCCTTGAAGAGAGTCATCGATAGCAGTGTTTCCTTCCAGACATGTCGGGAGTGTGTTTTGTTCCCTGTAATTCTTTCCGGTGTGGGGCGGTTCTGGAGCAGCCTCTTCACACATCTGATACAGTTGCTCCAGCCGCTTAGTGAGCTTCTGAATTTTCTGCTCAAGGCTTTCAGTTTTCTGTAGGAAAAGATATATTTAAAGAACTTCCATGCCAGGCACAGTGGCACACACCTTCCATGCCAGGCACAGTGGCACACACCTGTAATCCCAGCACTCGGGAGGCCGAGGCAGGAGGATCGTTGAGAGTTCAAGACCAGCCTGGGCTACAAAGTGAACTCAAGGCCAGCCTGAACTGCATAACGAGACATTGTCTCAAAAAAAAAAAAAAAAAGGCATTAACACTGTAGTTTCAATCATCATTTGAATTTTAGAATGAGAAACCACAAAACTTCATTACATGATTTGTTTTGTCTTGTTTTTGTCTTTTTAAGACTTTGTAGTTGAGGCTGGTCTTGAACTCACAGCAATCCTCCTGCCTTAGCCTCCCAAGTGCTGGGATTACAGGTGTGCACCACCATGCCCAGCTTATTACAATGATTTGGGTACAAAGAAATGTATTCACCTACAGCTGATGATTCAGTCACTTATTGGACTTAACCAGTGAATTCAAACAATTTATCTAGTAATTTTATTTGTGTGTATGTTTGTGGTTGTGGTGGTGCTGTGAATTGAACCCTGGGCCTTGTGCATGCTAAGCACATACTCTAAACTGAGCTATACCCCCAGCCCTGGCAATTACTGCACTGACGGAACTGACCAGTGTTGGGTCATTGCGAAAATATCTTCACCATAGCACTATTTCAAAGTTAATGTTTATGGAACTTATGCTGAAGTGTGTGAAGCATTTATCATTTCTGTAAGGTAGGAACTACTCCCCTGCACCCCATTTTACAAATGAAACCAAGGCAGAGGGGACAAGTAAACACCTCCCCCAGCCATGAGCACACAGCTGGCAAACGGCAGAGCTGGGATTTACAGCAGGGCTCTGCTCTTATTATCACGCCAAGCTGCCTCCTGTGCTGTAAAGACAGCCTACCATCTTCTTTCTCTGCAGTACTAACACAAAATCAAAATTGCAATGCAGGGGCTGGGGATTTAGCTCTGGCACAGCGCCTGCGTGGCAAGCATGACGTTATGAGTTTGATTCCCGGTACCGGAAACCTCCCCCGCCCCCGCAAAAAATTGCAATGCAGAGCCATGCTTCACTAAATTGGCTAATGTGAAACTCTGCATCTCGAAAGAATCAAATTGGAAAGGGTAACTTTTTCTGTCAATACAGACATTCCTCGTTTAAAAACAGTTCTGTTCTTGCCACTAGGTCATTAAATGAGGAACTGTATATAGCTTGTGTGTTACAATATTGAGAAAAAAGAAATGGTCAAAGGAAACTCCGACCTGATGACTTGGGTCTTATTTGCATGACTGTTACATGCAATACTGTGACGTGTAAGAGAACATAAAACTACAGTATTGTACAGTACAATCAGCAAAAATTATAGTACTGTATAAATAAGGTAGGCTGGACAAAAAAGGCCTGGGGGCTGTATAAACAAGATGTACAGAACTGTACAAAGAAAAAAGACTGGTTGCAAGTCCAAACAGTGACCCTTGGTCATAAGTCCTAATGGTTGTTAGGCAGGTAGGTCGTTAAAATTAGGAATATCTGTGCACTTACAGATTTCCATGATTGTTCCTTTGCACCCATTTCCTGAATCCTCTCCTTCACAGCGTCCTCTGTGGCCGGGATGGGGCCGCCGCTGTCGCTCAGAAGGGCAGCCAGCTGACTGAGGAGATCCTGGTACTGGGACCGTGCAGTTTTAATTTCTCGGCTGTATGAATATGGAGGTCCGCGTAACTCAGATGTTGGTTTTTCCTCGTGGAACAAATCTTGTAGAGATTTATCCCAAATTTTCTGCCCATCATTTGGCCCTTCAGTATGAATAATGTCTCTCTCAAAGTTTTTGGCCAGGAGTGCTTTGTCCTTATCCTAAATATGGCAAAACACAGGTTAAATGTCCCGTTGACATGTAATACAGAGATAGCTACTTCTGTCCCTTTGAACTATAAATACAGTTACAGCACAAAAGTTCAGGAGAAAAGATCCTTGTAGGAAGAAAGAAGTAAAGAGTCACAGGGAAAGAAAAAGACATTACTCAAAAGGTCAAATGAGAACAACAAAAGGTAGAAATTCAGTTTCCAGAAGCAGCTACCCAGAAAGCCTTAGTTGATGAGGCTAAAAAAAAATAAATGAAAGTCATTTTATAACTCCTAATGAGAGAACCGAGTCAGGTAGGATCCCCGATGAATGCGAGGACCACACAGTGAGAAGCTGCCAGGGAAATGATACTTTCCTAAGATTTATGGTTATCAAATAAAGGCTGTTATCAATAATAGCCTTGATAATGTAAAAGTATAACTGAAAGAAGTTGCATTTCCTTCCCACCATCTTTCCCTTGTGCTCCTGAAATCATTCTGCTTCCATTGTAAATATGAGCCGGGCGTGGTGGTGCACGCCTGTAATCCCAGCACACGGGAGGCTGAGGCAGGAGGATCTCTGCGAGTTCAAAGCCAGCCTGGGCTACAAAGTGAGCTCAAGGCCAGCCTGAACTGCATAATGAGACCCTGTCTCAGAAGGACAAAAAACATTGTAAATATGACATGAAAAATAAATAATGGGAAACGTTTGTACTTTTCCTTCCCCCCACCTCCCATGACAAAACTCTCTTTCTAAATTCTTTTTTTTTTTTTTTTTTTATCTGTTTGAGACGGTTTCAATATGCAGTTCAGGCTGGCCTTGCGCTCACTTTGTACCCCAGGCTGGCCTCGCCCTCACTTTGTAGCCCAGGCTGGCTTCGAACTCACATTGTTCCTCCTGCCTCAGCCTCGCGAAGGCTGGGGTTACAGACGTGCACCACCAGCCTGGCCCCCTTCAAATTCTACCTGCCCTCCTTTCCACCTTACTGTCACTTTCAGAGCTAGGAGCTGAATAAGCACGCTCAGTTTCTAGGCTTTTTGTTACGTGAAACTGAGCAGAGGAAAGCATAAGAATTATGCAGGTAATGATGGGTCGTGTCGCTGAAAGCCCAGAATGGGGAAAAGAAGCAGAATAAAAGCAAGGGAAGAAAAGATCAGAAGTGCTTCTCCCCTCTTCCAGATTTGAGCACCACCTTCCACTCATCCTGAGTCACTGCCCCCTGGAGCTCAGGCTCGCTTCCTGTAGCTCAAGTCTTGCGGTAACTCGAGCCCTCAGGGCCAGTGTCCACAACCCACCCACACTTCAGGGCGCGGTTCCTATGCCTCGGTTTCAGTGACTTGCGCTTACTACGCTTCTGTTCAACCACCTACGCCCAGGTCCATAACCCTAGATTACTGCAGCAGCGGGAACCAATCCACACTAGGAAGCTAACGTAACGTAAGGAAAAGCTAACGTATAGGAGTTCCCTCTCTCCCCACCCCTGCTCCTCCAGGTGACTCATCCCCATGCCTCCACCCTTTTCTTCAGAACCACGCACACCTTCGGGTCCTCCTAGACCTAGCACATTGTCCGCATGCACTGGGGTGTTCTGCATGAAACTGCTTCCATTGGTCCTTCATGAAAAAGAGGACCCAGGAACTACTCAGTGCTTACCCAGTACCTCCTGGAATAACATAAAGAAATAAGAATCCTGCCGGGCGTGGTGGTGCATGCCTGTAATCCCAGCACTCGGGAGGCTGAGGCAGGAGGATCCTTGCGAGTTCAAGACCAGCCTGGGCTACAAAGTGAGCTCAAGGCCAGCATGAGCTGCATAGCAAGACCCTGTCTCAAAAAGAAGGAAGGAAGGAAGGAAGGGGAAAGAAGAAAAAAGGAAAAGAAAAGAGAAGGAAGGAAAGAAAGGAAGAAATAAGAATCCTATTTCTTCAGTAATCAATCCAAACTTGTTCTCACCTTTTCTAGAAAAATATCCGAAGACTCTTCTTGTCCTTTTATATGCACAGAGGGGAATCCGCTCTTATGTGGCAGCTTATTCACCAGAAAGTCTGCTTTTTGCTCCGCTTTTTGTCTTTCAGTCAGATACACTCTGTGTGGGGTATAAGTGGATAACAACATCACGAAACCATTTCCACCCAATTCAGCATAATAGGCGTGGGGATGCTCATCTACAACCCCAGCAGTCTGTGAGGCTCAGGCAGAAAAATGGCAAGTCTGCGCACACTGTGGGCAATCTAGCAAGACCCTGTCTCAAAATAAAAAATAAAGGAGCTGGGAATGTAGCTCAGTACGAAGGCAACAGATTCAATCCCCAGCGCTGCAGGGGAAAAAAAAAGGATTATAAAAAATTTCCAATTTAAAATATTTACATAAGTGTATCAAGTAAAAACATTTCTTATGAAAAGAGCCGTGCAGATATCCAAGTATTTCTAGGGAAGTCGTTAGTCTCACAGTAGTTGCTTTGGGGTGGTCAATTCTGAAACCATCCTTGTTAAAGTGGAAGTCGAATATGAAAATCTGCCTGCTGCTGTGGTAACACTGTGATGATCAGGAAGTTCTACCTGGATCCAGTGCACCTATTTTTTTGTTTTGTTTTTCTTCTCCGGAACCCAGAACCGAACTCACGACCTTGCGCTTGCCAGGCAGGCGCTTTTTGCCGCTGAGCTAAATCCCCAGCCCCCAGTGCACCTCTTTTAACATCACCTAAATGGACTTCTATGGAGATTTGATGAGGAGGCAAGGAATTAGACCTAATTCCTGCAGCGTAGATAATTAGATAAAATGATGTGCTAACCTGATCAGTCATGAAATATGTAACAGTTTGGGGTTGAAGTGTAGCTCAAGGGCAGAGCACTTATCTAGTATGGACGAGGCTCTCAGTTTGATCCCTAACATCACAAAAGAAAAAATAATAAAAATTAAAAGAATAAATTTTACTGTAAGCAGCAATAATTTGATTCTTGTTTGGATTACCAGTTGCTAGATATTGGTAATGTTTTCTACCCTGAAGCTAGGTTAAAGTTTGAGTCTACCAGATTTTTTCTGTACACTGCTGAGAGCTGTGTACAGAATTTAGTAAATTTAAGTCAGATCCAAAGAAACCCAAATCACCTAAAGATAAAATTTTAATTCCAAAAGTTAAGCCAGGCATGGTGGTGCATGCCTTAATCCCAGCATTCAGGAGGCTGAGGCAGGAGGATCATTGCGAGTTTGAGAACAGCCTGGGCTACAAAGTGAGCTCAAGGCCAGCCTAAACTGTCTCAAAAAGACAAAAAAAGTTATATTAGCAACATACCAAACACACTCAAAAGGTCTAACAAACCAGTAAATTCAGCCATAGACTCAGAATAGAGACAGAATGGGACAAAAACAGTATCTGAAAAAAATTCTTCCCAAACCCAATGAAAGATATCAATTGACAGAGTCAATACATTTTGCAAATCCCAAGCAGGACAAATGCAAAGCAGATCACAGCAAGATATATCCTAGTGTTAACAAGTGAAAGCCGTTAGAAGAAAAGCACACATCACCAGCAAAGATACAGTCAGATGGATGTCTGACTTCAACAAAAACTACACGTCAGAAGATAACTGACAGTGTAAAGTGGCAAAAGGAAAAGTAACCTAGAGAACCTACAATTCTATACTTTGTGAAACTGCCCTGCAAAGTTGGAGAGGAAGCAGGGCATGATGGCACACACACATCATCCCAGCACTGGGAGGCTGAGGCAGGAGGATCAATGTGAGTTCAAGGCCAGCCTGAGCTACATAGTGAGATCCTGTCTCAAAAAACAAAACAAAACAAAAAGGAGAGGAAATAAACACAATGTGAGAAGGGGAAGAATTTCAGAAAACTTTCTCAATAAGAAACATGCCAGGTAATTTTTCAAGATGAAAGAAGATGTTCTGTTGGCTGCACAGAGCTGCAGGGGAAAACACAGACCATTGCAAAGGAAATGTGTGCATGAAAGGAAACAGTGACAGCTGATAAAACAGCAGTATCTTATACTGTTCGTAACATCTGAAAAGTAAAATGTAACAATAGTACAAGTACAAAAGATGGGCAAATGGAATTAAATTTGTCCTAAGTTTTTTTATTTAAGGGGGTAAGATAAGAGTACTAATTTTTTTTTTTTTTTTTTTTTGTCTTTTTGAGACAGGGTTTTGCTATGCAATGTAGACTGGACTTGAACTCACTTTTGCAGCCCAGGCTAGCCTCAAACTTGCAGCGATCCACCTGCCTCAGCCTCCCAAATGCTGGGATTCAGAGTACTCATTTAAAAGGCGATGAATCAAATATGCATTTTATACTCACCAAATCTAGGGTAAAAACTAAATAACAATTAAAAAGATGTTAAAACTTGATAGAAAAGGAAAAATTTAAAACTTACTAATCCAAAAATAAAGTGTTAAGGGAATAATAAAGGTACAGACAACAGAAAAAAATGATAACAATGTGGAAGACTTCCAAGAATTTCAGTAATTACCTAAGAGATGGTATAAAGATTGAATGAAAAGGCAAGAGTAGCCAGGTGTGGTGGCACACACCTGCGATTCTAGTACTCTGGGAGGCCGAGGCAGGACAATTGTAAATTTGAGCCTCGCTGGGTCAATTGAGTGATTTAGTGAAACCTTATCTGAACACACAAAAAAAATTTTAAGAGGCTGGGGATGTAATTTAGTGTGAGGCCTTGGGTTCAAGCCCCAGTACCAGAAAAGTAAATAAACTAAACAGACAAATAAGGCAAGAGTATCAGACTGGATTTAGAAAAAATAAAAAACAAAAAACTCATGCTATTTTTCAAGACATGTTAAATATAAGAGTACAGGAAGGTGTGGATTGAAAATAGAAAAAAGAAGTCTCCGTCTCTGTCTGTCTATCTGTCTCTCTCCCCTACCCCCTTGCTTGATTTTGCTGTCTTCCACCGCCATGAACTATTGCCCGCTGCTATATGCCATCCTGCCTTGAAGCTAGCCAATTAGGGACTAAAACCTCTATAAACTGTGAGCTAAATAAACCTTTCCCCTTTAAAAAAATGGAAAGAGAAGCTGGACATAAGAGTCATAGACCTGTGGTCTTAAGGCAGGATTTGAAAAAGTTTCCCAAACTTCCCCCTCCCTACAGTATTGTGCTCTGTTCCACTACAGATAAAAGCAGAAACTTTAGTTCCTGTAAGTAAAATTGTATAAGCTCCTGTTTCCATAACATTCTGTTATAACCGAGCAGGGCCACCAAGATACAAAACTGTCACAGTTTGACAAACTCCCTTTGTTCTCCTCCTGCTTGCCCACAAGTTCCATGCCGAAGACCCAGCCCTTGACCAAATGTATAAGAACTAGAACCTTCCTTTGTCCAATGCTCAGCCATTTTGGACATCATAAGGCCAAGCTGAGCCAGTGTGCACCTAAGACCTTGAAGAGAAATCCTCCTGTTTCATGATCTCTGATCTCTAGAATTCTACAACAGCCTCAGTTCTCAAGAGGCTGAGATGGGAGGATCTTTTGAGTCCTGGAGTTTAAAACCAGTCTGGACAACACAGTGAGACCTGGTCCAGAAGGACCAATCTTGTCAAGAACACACAGAAACTCCTAGGATAATGCCTGGCCAAGACTGGCTATCCCATGGCCCAGTCAAGTTGACACAAGGTTAACTTTCACAGCTCTAAGGATAAAATCAAAACGTAGTAGTGACTTTCTCTGCGATGGTATTCAAAATCATGGTGAAGAGTCTGCTCAGCTGTTATGGACCATGCTACAGCCAACTGCATGTCATGGCTTAACACTGAGAAGACCTATAGATGATTTTTTTTTTTTTTTTTTTTTTTTTTTGCAGTATTGGGGGTTGAACCCAGGGCCTCACACATGCTAGGCAAATGATCTGCCACTGAGCCTATCCTTTTTACATATATTTTGTAAAAATATATCCCTTTTTAGATATATTCTGAGACAGGGTCTTGCTAAATGGCCCAGCCTGACCTTGAACTTGCCATCTTCCTGCCTTTAGCTTCTCCAATCCTCTTTTCTTTTAAAAGCTGATTTGGGGCACTGGGCATGGTGGTGTGCACCTGTAATCCCAGCACTCAGAAGACTGAGGCAGGAGAATCCCTGTGAGTTCAAGGCCAGCCTGAGCTCCATAGTGGGTTCAAGGTCAGCTCGAACTGCATAACGAGACCCTGTCTTTTTTTTTTTTTTTTTGTCTTTTTGAAACAGGGTCTTGCTATGCCGTTCAGGCTGGCCTTGAGCTCACTTTGTAGCCCAGGCTGGTCTCAAACTCACAACAATCCTCCTGCCTCAGCCTCCTGAGTGCTGGGATTACAGGCGTGCACCACCATGCCCAGCTGAGACCCTGTCTCAAAAAAAAAAAAGTGATTTGAGAAATTGAAGACACAGAAGAAACCTCTACTTACTAGTTGGGCTGATATATCTAAATATAATAATACCAGGCTATAGCAGCATTCACATCTGCATGGGGTGTCTCTTCGTGTAGTCTGACTCTCTTAAATATTATTTATATTGTCAGACAGAGAATTAAGGATTTTGTTTCTTCTTGGAGCCACAGGTACATGACTAAATAATTTACTTCCTCTCTCTACACCATGAATGATAATGAGCCTATGGCACATATGCTTCAACTGGCTGTTTGTTATCATTCAAATCTCTAAAAGATTTGCTCACACCTGTAATCCCAGCACTCGGGAGGCTGAGCCAGGAGGATCATTGAGAGTTCAAGGCCAGCCTGAGCTACAAAGTGAGCTCAAGGCCAGACTGAACTGCATAATGAGACCCTGTCTCAAAAAGACAAAAAAAAAGTATCCAAATTGAAAAGGAAGAAGTAAAACTGTCTCTATGGATAATATGGCCCTTCATAAAGAAAATCTCAAGAAATACACACACACAAACACACACAATTAGAGCTAATAAAGATGTTCAGCTAATAAACATGAGATACACGTTTGGGATACAAAAATCAATTGTATTCTACTCCCTAAAAATGAAGGATCCAAAAATGAAATTAAGGGAGCAGCTTCATTATAATGTGTAAATAAGAGTAAAATACTTAGAAATAAGTTTCATAAAATACATGTGCAGCTGGGCATGTTGGTACATATCTGTAATCCCAGCACTCATGAGGCGGAGGCAGCAGGATTATGAGTTTTTTGGTTTGTTTTGGTTTGCTCTATTTTTTTCTTTTTGATTGATTTTGATTTTTTGAGACAGAATCTCGCTATCCCAGGTTGGCCTCAAACTCATGATGATCCTCCTGTCTCAGCCTCCTCAATGCTGGGACCACCCTACCAAGCTCCAGGAGGATTATGAGTCTTAGGCCAGCCTGGGCTGCCTAAGGCAGACCCTGATTCAAACAAACAAAAACATACACACTGAAAACTACAAAACATTGTAAAAACAAATTAAAGAAGCCCCAAGTAATTGGGAAAACATTCCATGTCTACAGATTGGAAGACAACATTATATATTAGTATAAGGATTCAACACAATCTCTCTTCATCAAAATTACATCTGCCAGTTATGGAAACTGACAAGTTGAATTTAAAATCTAGTAATGGACCCAAAAAACAATATGATCTTAAAAAAAAAAAAAAAAAGGAAAAAGTTGGAGGACTCACTCTTCTGCTTTCAAAACTTACTACAAAGCTACAGTATTCAAGGAGATAATGTAGCACTGGCGGAAGGGCAGCCTGGACCAAGGTGCCAGGACAGAAACCCCAGAAATGAACCCACACACTTGTGGTCAGACGATGTTTCGCAAAAGTGCCAGGACAACTCCTCGGGGGAAGGAACAGTCTTTCCAACAAATGATGCCGAGATTAACTGGATAATCCACCTGCAAAAGAATTTTTTGGACACCATCCTGTCTCAAAATAAAATATAAAAAAAGAGCTGGGCGTATAGCTCAGTGCCAGGCCCTGATCCCTAACACCACAAAAAAGCAAAAGAAAAAGAAAGGATAGATGTGAATATGATTCTTTTTTGTGTATGAATATGATTCTGAGTTAGAGAATGGTTTCTTAGATTTGACACTAAAGACACAAGTGACCAAAATTTTTAAACTTCATCAAAATTTAAAGAAAATTTTGCTTCAAATGAAAGTAAGAGAGTGAGGCATGTAGCTCAGTGAGAAAGTTTTTAAAAAGGTTTGTGAAAAAACTGGATGCAGTGTTGTGTGCCTGCAGTCCCAATTACTTGGGAGGCTGAGGCAAGAAGGTCACTTGAGCCCAGGAGTTTAAGGCCAATGTGGGTAACATGGGGAGGTCCCATCTCCAAAAAAAAAAAAAAAAAAAAAAGGAAGGAAGGAAAGAAAAAGAAGGTTAAAGAAGAAAAGAGAAAGTGAAAAAACCTGCATATTGGGAGAGAATATATGCAAATCATACATCCGCTAAGGTTTCAGTATCCAGAAAATATCAATACTCTCAACAATGAAACAATCCAATTAAAAATTATTTTATGCTGGAGGCCTCTATGAAGCACCCCCAAGCAGGACTTAAATTAACAAACTGGCTTTTTATATTCACTTGTGAATCTATCCAAAGCCTAGGCCGCTTGTCTGGAAGTGGGTGACAGACCCATAGTAAGTGAACTTCTGTAAGTCACTAATCCCTACTAAAACCTGTAATGACAGATGAAGCTGGAAAGCCTCAAAGGATAGGACAAGATCACAGCCAAGGACACCTGGATCCGATCTCACCTAGATAAATTCTATAGCCTCAGGCATCTCACTCTTGGGTGGACTAACTTAGTCCTTCTTAAGGATCAATTTAATACCTTATTTGGAGAAGTCCTTGAGTAATTCCACCCTTCTTGAGTACTCCCCTCCCTTCCGGTAACCAAATAAATGCAGGCCACCCCCAGAAGGTCTTGGTCTTAGCCCTGAGAGAATCTCAAGTTCTGAGAGAGGGCTTTGATCCTCCTGGAGCCCTAAAATCTTTCCATTTGCCTCTTTTTATTTAGCCTTCACCATACACTCATTCAGGAGATTGGAGCCCTGATCAGCCCGCAATAACTAAGGGATGTTATTAACCCAATCATTTTAAAATAAGCAAAAGTTCTAAATAGGTATTTCTGGGCCAGGGATATAGCTCAGTGGCATAAGTGCCTGCCTGGCAAGCGCAAGGTCCTGAGTTTGATACCCAGTACAAAAAAAAAAAAAAAAAAAAAAGATATTTCTGCATAGAAGACATACAGGTGGCTGGTAAGTACATGAAAAGATGCTCAGTGCCTTTAGTCACCAGGGAAATGCACAGTAAAGTCACAAAGAGCTGTGCTGCAGACCCACTACAATGAAAGAAGACAAGCAGTAAGTGTTGGTGGGAATATGGTGAGGCTGTAACCCTCACATTGCTGGTGGGGATGTGACATGGTCCTGCTATCCTGGAAAACAGCCTGGCAGTCCTCAAAGTAACTTCAAAGGCTTAATCAGACAAACAGTTACTACATGACCGAACAATTCTACTCCTAGTGCATATGTCTAACAGAGATAAAACTTATGTTCATATAAATGCTTGCACAAGCTGGGTGTGGTGGTACATGCCTGTAATCCCAGCACCTGGGAGGCTGAGGCAGGAGGACTGTTGCAAGTCTGAGATCAGCCTGGGCTATAAAGTGAGCTAAAAGTCAGGAATATGAACTGCATAGCGAGACCCTGTCTCAAAAAGACCAACTAACTAAACAAATAAATAAAAGCTTGCACAGGAATGTTCATAGCAGGATTACTCATAGAAAAAAAAGGGAAACAACCAAGATGTCATCAAGAACTAAATAAACAGACTAGCTGGGCATGGTGGTGTACACCTGTAATCCCAGCACTTGGGAGGCTGAGACAGGAGTACTGTTGCGAGTTTGAGGCCAGCCTGGACTACAAAGTGAGTTCAAGGCAGCCTGAACTGCATAGCAAGATTCTGTCTCAAAAAGACAAAAAAATAAATAAACAAACAAACAAACAGGCCAGGGATATAGCTCAGGGGCACAGCACCTGCCTGGCAGTCTGGTACAAAAAAAAGGAACAAAATAAACAAAATAGGATGTATATACAGAATGAAATACTATGTATCCAGAATGAAATACTATGCAGCCATAAAAAGGAATGAAGTAGCAATTCATGCTACAACGTTTATATACCTTGAAATATTTTTTAAGTGAGAGAAGTCAGACAGAGGGGATATGTGTTATAATTGCATTCATCTGAAATGTCCAGAAAAGGCAAATCCACACAGAAAGAAAGATTCGTGGTTGTCAGAGGCTAGAAGAAAGTGGGCTAGGAAGTGACTCCTAATGTGTCCATGGGATTTCTTCTGTGGATCACAAAAATATTTTCAAATTAGGTGGTGGTGGTAGTTGTTACAGCCACTGGGTTATACACACTTAAAACAGGTGAATCTTACGGTGTGTGACATCCCAATGCAAAGTGTTTTTTTTAATGTAATAATGTTGAGTCAGGCATTACATAAAATTTTACTAGATTTAAATTTTGTAATTAATCAGCAGGGTGGAGTTCACACACTATGCGCAAACGCGTGACAAAAGACTTGTTTGAAAACAAACCCGGAAGTTCCCTACCTTAGAAGGTTTTCTAGTTCTGTAACTCTTTTAGTTAGATTCCAGTTGCCTCTTTCAAGATTTTGAATATTGGAATTTTTCAAAGACTTAATTCTGGTTAGGGAAGTGATAAGTTCCTGCAGGCCCTTGACATCGTCTCTCAGGGACGTTATCTGGAAGGACTGCTGTTCTTTGTACCTTGCTAGTTCAGTCTTGGTCTCTTGCAGCGAAGTCTCTTCTCTGAAAAGTTTTCTTTGCAGAGTTCTGAGCTAATAAGAAAGGAAAGGTGTTTAAATTATACAATAAAATGAAGACTTTTTGTCTTAGGGATAAAACCCAGGGTTTTCACATGCTAAGCAAGCACTTCATGACTGAGCTACACCCCCTCTCCCCAAACCAAGCCTTTCAAATCTACACCCAACAGTATACTCTGATGTTTAAGGCATTTTAAACATAAAATGAAATGGGTACATAGGGTTTTCAGTAAGTAATTTTGTTCTCCATACGAAAATTGTTTCTTTAGTTACTAATAAGTAAAAATAATAAAATTTTAAAATAAAATTACACTAATAAATAAAATAAATTTCACCAATAAATTACACCAATAATGAACTTTGTAGTTTCTGGCAAAAAGAAATAATTACTGGGTGCTTTAGCCAGAGATCATTTTTTGGTGTGTGGTAAAGGGGGGCATGTTCCCGGGGCTTTCTTCAAGAAAGAAGCCTTGCCGGGCGTGGTGGCACACACACCTGTAATCCCAGCACTCGGGAGGCTGAGGCAGGAGGATTGTTTCGAGTTTGAGACCAGCCTGGGCTACAAAGTGAGCTCAAGGCCAGCCTGAACTGCATAGCGAGACCCTGTCTCAAATAGAGGAACAAAGTGTTATAAATAGAGGCTTCTTTGTTTTTTGTTTTTGTTTTGGTCTTTTTTGAGACAGGGTCTCACTATGTAGCGCAGTGTGTAGCCCAGGCTGGCCAAAAAAGAAAAAAAGACAATCTTTCTAGGCAAATGTCTGCAGGAAGTATTTTGTCAAGGAACAATGCTAATTTGAATGTGACAAATCCTAGACTGCGGGTTTTTCCCATTTAAATGACCACAAAAAATAGATGTAAATGTAGTGTTGTTTGTTTGTTTAGATGAGTTCTTATTCTGTTATCCAATTGGCACAGAACTTCTGATTCTCCTGAGTAGCTAGGATTACAAGCCTGTACCAACCCACCTGGTTTGAGTGTTTGTGCTTTGGCTGGGGATCAAACCCAGGTATGCTCTACTAATGAGTACATCCCCAGTCCTATTTATTTATTTATCTCTACTTTGGTTGATCTTGGGAATTAAACCTAGGGCCTTTCCCCTGAGCTCTATATCCAGCCCTTTTTCATTTTTTATTTTGAGATAGGGTCTCACTAAACTGCTAAGTTGCCCAGGCTGGGCTTGAACTTTTGCTCCACCCGCCTTGGCCTCCCAGAGTGCTGAGAGGCCTGTCTCAAAATAAAATGAAAAGGGCTGGGGAAGTAGCTCTGTAACTTGTCTAGCATGCATGAGGCCCTGGGTTTGATCTCCAACACTGCACACACATATACTCAATTTCCATACAAATTTTTCATAGACTAACTCATTCTCTTCAGTAAATTTTTGTTTTTGTTTTTTGGGAAAGGGTCTGTCTATGTAGCCCAGGCTGGCCTTGACTCACTATGTAGCCCAGGCTGGCCTCAAACTGGAAGCAATCCTCCTGCCTCGGGCACCAAAGAGCTGGGATTACGGGCGTGCGCCACCATGCCTGGCAAATTTCTGATTATAAATGTGGTTCTTAAAACGGGATCTAAGGGACTGGAGTTCAATATGTATACTTAGCAATGGGAAAATTACAAAATAAGTGACAGTAAACAGGATGTAACAAACGACTGCGTGGATGGAAGGGATGGAAATAAAAGCCTCCCGTCTCCGCGGAGTCTTTTATGCTTCCCATCTTTACAAGTTTTCTACCATGTGCCTTTTATTTTGTAGAAAATATATTTTAATAATAAGATCCAATGTTTAAAAAAAATCTAAAGTTTGGGGACACACACATGTAATCCCAGCACTTGGGAGGCTGAGGCCACGAGTTTGAGGCCAGCCTGGGCTCCCTATGAGTTGGAGTCTAGCCTGGACTACACAGAGAGACCTTGTCTCAAAAAACAAATAAAAAAATCTAAAGTTTCAAATTCATTCACACTTTCATTAGAAATTGTGAACAGCACACGCATTGGTGAGCGTCCTTTGCTTTTATTGTCCCCTCAGGTCGGTAAGTCTGTTACTGTTCTCTCTGTGCTTTCCTTGTGTCCCCCTTTCTTCTATGCCCGATGCCTTGGTCCTGCTTCCGGGCCTCACGGACCATCTCATGCACTGCTAGAAGACCTTCTCCTTGAGAACCATCCTTTCATTGATTTGACAAATAGGACTTAAATGCCTTCTGTTTTCCAGGTATGTGTCAGGCTCTGAGGATCCGAAGAAGTTTAAGAACTCTCAAGATTCTCCTCGGTCACTAGAAAGCCCAGTTTGAAAACAAATATGCCATCACTGATACAGTGACAGTGGTATGAACAGAACGGTCAAGGAACATGAGGGATATCTGGTTCTGCTCAAAGCTGTCCCCTCGGGTCTGATCGTGTCAGCCTTCCTGGAATCGCTGTAACGATCCCCACTGGCTGCTAACTCCTACGCACTCTGCTGCTCCCGCTGCCCAGTCCTCTGCCATTCCCTCCCACGGTCCCCGCTCCAACCTCTGTGAAACTCGCTGTCCTCAGAGCCCCTCCAACTGCCACCACCCCCAAGAAGCCTGGGCATGTGGAATTCCCCGGGGTTTCCCACGTCGCTCTCCATGCCCTTCCTAACTCTCATGGGTGAGAACCATAGTCGATTTGTTTTTTTTTTTTTTTTTTTTTTTATTTTTTTTTTTTTTTAAAGAATAAAAGAAGGATAACATAATAATAGGGGGGACTTAGCAAATTACAGACAAAATGGTAGGAAATTATCAATGGTTATCATTTTACATATTATTGTCTACAAAATAGTTTCTCAGGAAAACAAATAGACAAATAATAGTGAGTTAAAGACAAAAGAGGTAGGAGATTATCAAGAGTTGTTGTACTATACTTTGGTATCTTCAAAGTGTCTTCTAAAGAAAATAGAGCTATACATGAGTGACCTATTGAAAAATCATTAACTATTCTCAATGGTTGTTGTAGGAAACACATAATAATAAACATACATTATGAAATAGGATAGGAACATTACAAACTTAACACAGTTATGGATAGATTAGTAGGAAAATAATGGCTGCTGTAATACATGGTGGTATCTTCAATGTGGTTTCTCAGGAAGACAGAGATATGCAAGAAGGATCTAATAAGTAGTTACAGCCTAAGGGTTGTCAAAAATAGCATATTACCTCCTCACCAGTGACTCCTTTCACTGAGGTATGATGGCTGGAAGGAAGGCCAGGATTGAAAAGAAGGACCGAGAGACTTGCACCTGTGTCTAGCAACAGGCTGTTTTCTTGTTCCTCCATAGTCATGATTACCCAGGACTCCTCGATGGAGATTCGATTTGTTTTTTCTGTCCTCACCTGCCCGGCGCCTTATTTCAGTAAGCACTCTGTATGTGTCAGAACCTCACACATGTTGAGTGGAAACTCTCTGTTCCTGGGAGCATTATTATGAATCGCAGCTTACAGTAATCGCAGCAGTTGCCCAAGCCTTTAGCATTATTCTAACCAGTAAGTCAGGGGTTTCTCTGCACCAAAGTGGAATTTATTATATATATAATGAAATATATAAATAATGCTTCGGGAGTTGTGGGGTGCAGTGGTTCTGCCTTCCTGTGCTGTGATAAAGGAGCCGTGTCTTCAGATCTTATTTTTAGTTATCCCATTGTCAGGATAATGTTCGGTACAAGTTTCTTGAAAAGTATCTCGGGTAACATGACGCTCATGTAGAAAACTAGACCCGACATTGATTTCTAGATCTATTTTAACCTTCCTTTTAATGGCCAAACTTTTGTCAGTTGTCTTCCAGAAGATCTGCTAGTTAGAGTAGTTTATTTTCTTATGACCAATAATTTGCAAATGCTAAGGTTTTAAAAGACTCCTGCGTTCTATTTTATGTCAAAGAAACCCAAACTCAAACAGCTTGATGCTGGAATTGGAAACAATAAAACAGTAATGTACTGAGAAGCTAGCTACATCTAGGTGTCTTGGTTACTTTTCTCTCCTTGCTGAGACAAAATACCCGACACCAGGATTAAGGAAGGAAAGGTTTATTTTGCTCACAGTTCGTGGAGGTTTCAGTCCATGCTCGGCTGGCTCCAAGGCAGAGTGGCACATGGCAGAGGGCAACAGTTCATGGCAGCGGAAGGCAGCAAAGGCAACAAGAGCAAAAGGGAGGGGTGGCAGAGAGCAAGCCTCTTTCTCTCTCTTACATTGTAAGCAAACTACCCACCCCAGGGCAAGTGTAGCATTTGCATCCATAATTCTAACATTTGACAGTGAATCAATCATAAACTCTAAAAGCCCACCCCATGACTGCATGTGATTTTGGGGGGACACCCACATACAAACCATGACACTAGGCTACCACAGAAATTGAGATACAGCTTGTTGAGTAACATTAGGGTAGAATATACACAGAACTCTCTCCACTCTCAGAAGACTTGAACAGAAACTCTCTGGAAGGATAGACCGATAACAATAAGACATAAAAATGTGTCTGACACTGTCAGTCACTAGGGATACGTGAATGAAAGCTACCATGAGATCTCACACACATATCAGAGGGGCTAAAGTATAAAATAGTGATACCACCACATGCTGGTAAGGGTGCAGAGAAATTGCATCATTCATACATTGCTGCTAAGAATGACAGAATATGACTACTGTGGACAACAGTTTGACAGCTTTCTTATAAAACTAACCATGAAATTAACGTGACCCAGATATTGTACTCTTGAGCATTTTTCCCAGAGAAATGAAAAGTTACCTCTCCACAAAAATGTCTACATTGACATCTGTAGCAGATTATTTGATTGATTTTTGCATTTTTTGAGACAGGGTCTTGCTGTGTAGACAAGGGTGGTCTCAAACTTACAGGGATCCTCCTGCCTCAGCCTTCCAAGCACTGGAATTATAGGCATGTCTCACCATGGCCAGCCATAACAGATTTATTTATAATTGCCAAAAAAAAAAAAGATACAACTCAGATATCTGTCAACAGATAAATGGTTAAACAAATTTTGG